GCCAGGCTGGCCTTGAACTCCTGACCTAGTGATCCACCCACCTCGGCCTCCCAAAGTGCTGGGATTACAGGTGTGAGCCACCGCGCCTGGCCAACAAGTGCATTCTTACAGCATTTGTTACAAACCTATAATCCGTATCCTCTGAAAAAGTCAAGCATCATGACAAAACAACTAGTCAATCAACAGATCTTCATGTAACACTGTAAACCATAATGCAGCCAGAGACAGATACACCCCAAAACTCTAACAGCTATACTTCAGAACAGCAGAATGAACTAGAATTCAGGGGTCTGAATTTGAATGGGGAAAAAATGTAACATCTTTATGGCTGTAATGTAGCATTTCCTTCCTTATTGTTTGTTTTGAGATAGGATCTCATTCTGTCGCCCAGACTGGAGTACAGTGGCACAATCACAGCCCACTGCAGCCTCCACCTCCCAGGCTCAAGCAATCCTCCCACCTCAGCCTCCCCAGTAGCCGGGACCACAGGCACACCACCAAACCACACCACGCTAATTTTTTATTTTTTGTAGATACGAAGTCTTGCCACATTGTCCAGGCTGGTTTCGAACTCCTGGGCTCAAGTGATCATCTCACCTCAGCCTCCTAATGTGTTGGGATTACAGGCATGAGCCACTGTGAGTGGCTTTTTTTTTTTTTCCTAGCCACTAGACCTCCAGGGAAACAGTACCTATGTCTTTGTCACCAATCACAGATATTTTAATGTGACATGACAGTTTCTACAAATATTCACAATAGCATTTATGCTTCTCACTGCATCAAAATTATAGTAGTTATTAGATCTCCCACTGTCTTTGTATCACATGTAAATAAAGAGGCACATACATTGCTATAACCAAATGTGGTACCTTTTCTATACTTTAATAATTGCATTTCAGGCTGGGTGCAGTGGCTCATGGCTGTAATCCCAGCATTTTGGGAGGCCAAAGCGGGTGGATCACTTGAGGTTAGGAGTTCGAGACCAGCCTGGCTAACGTGGTGAAAACCCATCTCTACTAAAAATACAAAAATTAGCCAGGCATGGCGGCACACACCTGTAGTCCCAACTACTCGGGAGGCTGAGGCAGGAGAATCGCTTGAGCCAGGGAGGCAGAGGTGGCAGTGAGCCAAGATCACACCACTGCACTCCAGGTGTGCAACAAGAGCAAAATTCTGTCTCAAAGAAAAAAACAAGCATTTTACTATCGTTGATTTGTTTTATAATCAAAAGTGTTTTCATTTAGGCATTTAAAAAATATTCTAAGAAGGGATCCATGGGCTTCACCAGCTTGTCCAAGGGCATCCGAGGCACATAAAAGGTTAGAATCCCCTGGACTAGATGAGATGCTAACAGCCTAGGTTCTGGTTCTGTGGCAGCATTACCTAGTCTCCAATGTTGCTACCTCTACATCTGCACCTCAGTCCGTCTCTATAGGTCCCTGATCCAGGGTGCCTGGTGTGCCTATAATACAGTCTTGGTCTGTATGTAATGGTAACACAGGCAGCAACTGCCACCAAAGTTTCCCCAGCCTGATTCAGAGGATGCACAAGAAGCTCTGGACATGGTGGAGTGCCTAAGCCTTGGTTAGCAACTCCACCCCCAAGCCAGCCCCTGAGCTCCCACCCCGCCCTGCTCTGAGGCCAGGCTTCTGCACATGGTTTTAGATGCTGCCCAGCAATGGAGTTCTCACCTGACCTGGGTCCTGCCCGTAGCTCACACAGGGCCACAGCTTGCATATTAGTGGTCAGACAGCATTGCTCACGGTAGATGGGACGGAGTTGAATAGCCAGTGTACATTCCTGAAAGACCAGAGTCCGACCACTTGGCAACTGTGGGTGGAATGCTGCCTACGAGAGCACCATGTCCTAAACATACATGTACATAACCATGGAGTCAGTGG